CCCGAATACGAAAACCTCTCCTCACCCTTTTCTCTTTTAACTCCGAGTTTGCAAAAGTTTTGTAGCACGCGAAAATAAACCCAGACTAATTATCATGCGCGGTTAAATTGTATACTTGCACAGGGGTACAATTATTCGAAGATCAGTCAAAAAATTTAATGATTAGTTGCAATCGTCGGAGGATACAAACACTTGAAATAACTCCTGGCTATTCTGAATTGATTAATTGAATTAATTGAAAAACCCAATTTTCGTGGCGTTGCGCGAAATCTTGCACGTGGGGGACGGTGATCTGTTTTCCAAGACTCGGGCATGTAATGTACTATTTTAGGGTGATTAATTGAGTTTTTAGAAATTATTTATGAGAAAGGATCCCACACCTAAAAAATTGCCTTTCTCTAACAATTTTATGACTCGTCATAAAAAAAATAGGCGTCCTAATATTTTGAAAATTCTCAAAATACTAATTGAAAACTTCTAGTCTAATTTTAGTTTTGTTTTTGAAAATGAGGAATAACAATTTCTGCCAACAATGAACATTCACATTATTCATTTTGCTTGATGAATAGAATACACAACAAAAAATTTTTCTCTCAAATTTAACATAAAAAATTGAAGCTAAAAGAATTTTACGAATTCGTCTCCTACTGCCACATTCACCCCTCACAAATTGTGAAAATCTCAAACCTTTCACAAATATAATTTCCCAACGCCGATTTAACCCATCCCTGCTACGAAACCCCATATTTCTCAAGCCTCCGTAACATTTTATTTACATACATATGACAGTTAAACACCCAGTTTTTAGATCCTCCAGCTAGGCTCGCGCAGTTCAGTTACAACTCTGGCGTATCATTTGACAACGGGCGTAAATCAGTAATTCAACGCGTTGCAAATGATCCTTCGGCAACACCATCCGGACCGATTATACCGAGATACAGCGCATATTCAACGTTAGCCCAGACACAAACACGTACGCGCAGAGTAATGTACACCTCTCCTCTCCTCTTTCCTTCTCGCCCCCCCCCGTCCTTCACCCTTCTTCATTTACCCCGACACTCTTTCACGTGTCAGTGATATGGGTATCGTTATAGGGGATGCTTGGATACGTGTATTAGTGTCGTGTACATGTGTATTCACGAGTTAACGTGGGTAATACGATACCACACAGCCACCTTGCATGCCACGTTAGTCGTTGACGTCACGCTTCGCTACGTTAAGTATATATTTACATGTGCCTAGGTAAGGTGATCAACCCGCCTTTTATCGTGACATTAACGAGACGACCATGTTTTCGATTGAAAGAAAATTTGCCGATGGGGTCAGATCAATTTTCGGTTCAGTCCGGTCGTTTGGAGATTGGCTTACTGAGGAGGGGGAGTTTCCGGACGCTTATTAGGAGCAGTTTCCGGACGCGTGAAGGAGAAGAAAAATCGGAGACAGTTGAGCGATTTTCTTCAACAATTACAAGCGTCGTGACAATTTTTAATTGATTAATGAATTGGTTCGTTTTTTAGTTGTTTAATTGATTGAGAATTCATTTTGTCTCCTTTTTTTATTATTCGTGTGCAATTATGTCGTTGTTAGTCGTTGACGTCACGCTTCGCTACGTTAAGTATATATTTACATGTGTCTAGGTAAGGTGATCAACCCGCCTTTTATCGTGACATTAACGATACAACCATGTTTTCGATTGAAAGAAAATTTGCCGATGCGGTCAGATCAATTTTCGGTTCAGTCCAGTCGTTTGGAGATTGGGTTACTGAGGAGGGGGAGTTTCCGGACGCCTATTAGGAGCAGTTTCCGGACGCGTGAAGGAGAAGCAAAATCGGAGACAGTTGAGCGGTTTTCTTCAACAATTACAAGCGTCGTGACAATTTTTAATTGATTAATGAATTGGTTAGTTTTTGAGTATAAAATATACTTGATTCAAGTATATTTTTTTTTCATGAACGAACAGTCCTATAACGAAATCGGGTCTGTTACGGAAACTGTGTCTGAGATTCAGGCGAAGTATCAACGGAATGCCATCTCCTATCTCTAGTCAATAAGTTGCTCGCGTCAAGATGTAAAAAACCAAATAATCACAAATTCATAGAGGTAAAGAGATATTTCCCAGAACCTGTTTACGATTTCCCGGGATATATTTTATGCCACATTGAACTGAATAGTAACTGAGAAGTAACCCAACACCGGGTTATTGAATTACCCCCTACATATGCGCAATGTAAACGTTACTCATCTGAAAAAAAATTCGTGTTCTAGTTCTGCGCATGTTGAATTTCAGTTTGAAACGATTAGTTGAAAAATTGTTTCAAACGATTGTAATAAGAAGAATTGTTGTGGAAAGTCCATACGAATCATTTCAACTTGTGCTTCAAGAATTGGAAAATTGAGTAAAAAACATTTTTCATAATGAATTTCATTGAAAATGATTGAAAACAGTATTGGATCAAAAAAATTAAATAAAATATGATTTTTTACTGTATTTTCCAAAGGTTTCGGACTGAATGATCAATTTGATTGAATGCAAAACCCTCAATATTAAATTTCCCATGACTCAACAAAAATTTAATTATTTCCTTCGGCAAAAATTTAAAAAATCTAAATGATTAGAAAAAATATTAGATTCAAAACAAAATAAAAGTGAAATGGCAAAAAATCAATTGATTAAAATTTTTCTATTAAACTTATTCTAATGAGATCTACTCCGCGATTAGAGTTTCTCTGCATGAATATTCCAACAAAAAATATTGCAACATATATTTGTTTGATGCACAATATATTTCTTTGACAAAAAATATAAATCTCGGATTTTTTTCAATTGAACAAAATAGATTTTTACTGCATTTTCCAAAGTTTTCTGACTGAATGATCAATTTAATTGACTGCCAAACCTTCAAATCAATACTAAATTTCCGGTCACTCAAAAAAAAATTATTTTTTACTTTGGCAAAAATTAAAAAAATCCAAATGATTGGTTGGATTCCGATGAAAAGAGCGATAACGGGATAGTTTGTACGGGTACAGAGTGATCTTTCCCATTGTAATACAGTCCTTGGGCTAATGGATTGATCCGTGTGCCACAGGATTTCGTGAATATCCCTTTCGCTCATATGTACAGGTATCAGTTTCGTTGTTCGTCGATGAAACTCACTCTGTTCAAACATAATGCGGATAGAATTAAATGATTGGATTGAGCCTGATTGGTGCCAGGGGAGAATTATAAGGGAAAATTTAATCAAATTTCGAATTGGTAACTAGAGTCATGTTCACGAGTTTGTTCTCATCCTTTGTTCCATTATTCTATTTCATTTTATGGAGAAGTGAAATGATTGCGAGCGATCGTTAAATGGAATATTTCGTATCGGTTTCTTCTCCGTACAATGTCACCTGATATTTTAAAGGGATTCTAACAATCCTCGTTACCTTATGACGTTGGAAATGATTGATATTCATTGTTCAAGGAGAAGTATTTTTGTTTATGAGAGAAATTGACATTTGAGAGCGACAATATGATCGATCGGTGTAATTGTAAGGAGATATTAAACATTATGTGTACAAAACAATGCAGATGGAAGAAGTTACGAAACTTGGGGTATGTAATTTCAACATGATGTCATCGTTTTCTTAATTGGATAATTGTTTCTGATATCTTCAACCTTTTACTTTTTCTATTCTAAATATTGGGAGAAAAGTATGTGGGTGTTTCGTCAATTGGTATGGTTTTATACCTTCAGAAGTTTAATTTTTACGGAACATATTAAAAAATCAGACTGGGACTCGGCTTCGTTCAATCCAAAACATTTTTTTTTCGAATTTCATTTTTAAAATTTTTTCCTAATTTATCATTTTTTTTATTTTTTCATTCCAAAATTCATCAAATTACCTTCTTATATAGCTTGCTTATCATTCAAAAGGCCTAGAAAATGTTTTTTCATTTTTTCCAAATTTTATTGTGCCCACAACGTTAATTTTGTAGTTTTGTAAGTTTTTGACAAAATTTTGCATTTCAGCACAGGTCCATTTTTTTCGGGTTTTCAATCAGTATTTCCGACGGGAATTTTCCGTTCTTTCGATTAAGCATGGTATCAATTAGCTCATATAATCAAAAATGCTTTAAAATCGCAAAAAAAATAGAAAATTCTGGGTGGTACCCCTTTCCCCTACCTCGATTGGCGATTTTTTTATTTCTTCACCGAAAGTGACTATTTTTACGGAACATATTAAAAAATTAGACTGGGACTCAGCTTCATTCAATGCAAATTTTTTTTTTCAAATTTCGTTTTTAATATTTTTTCCCAATTTGTCATTTTTAAAAATATTTTTTAATTCAAAATTCATCAGGTCACCTCTCGGGCCATAGCTAGTCCCAACCTTGTTGCGACCAATTCCGTTAAAAATAAAATAACACGAATGATTATTTCTCAATCATCAGGAGTATGCAGCAAACGCAATGAGTGAACTCCTCGGTTGGTACGGCTACGACAAAGTCGACAGTGGCTGCACTCGTGGTCTCAATCTGGATCACTTTGCCTCCTCCTCGAGTCCCAAGTACCATCACCATGGTACGACACGACTGACCACCAAAGTTACATCTCCCGGAATTCCCCGGCAAAGTGTCTCAAGGTCACCTACATCAAGGACTTCAAGGTCATCGCCGAGTATCTCAGTTGTATCGTACAAGGAGAATGGCCTTGCCCAATCGTCTCCACCCCTGTCGCTCAGAACGGGACCGGCGAGTCCTAGGATTATCGAAAACAGTGACTCAGCGTCAGATACCCCTGGTAATTATATTTTTTTCTATTACTGGAAAACGCACGTACACGTGACTTGGTTGTAATGTAATGTAAGCGGAACTTATACATAGAAGAATTACTTGAATCAAGTCGCAGAATTACTTGGAGCAAGTCGGAACCGAGCTGAGTCAAGCTGCACAATTACTTGAATTAAGTCGGTTTCAAGTTGAATCAATTTGCGCAATCTACTTTGTTCAAGTCAGACCTGATGTGAATCAAGTTGAAGGATTACTTGAATCAAGTCGCAGAATTACTTGAAGCAAGTCGGAACCGAGCTGAGTCAAGCTGCACAATTACTTGAATTAACCCAGTCTCGAGTTGAATCAATTTGCGCAATCTACTTTGTTCAAGTCGAACCTGATCTGAATCAAGTCGAAGGATTCCTTGAATCAAGTCGCAGAATTACTTGAAGTAAGTCGGAACCAAACTGAGTAAATTCGAAATTACTTGAATCAACTCAGTCTCGATCTAAATAAAGGCACACAATACTTTGTTCAAGTCAGAGCCAATCTGAATCAAGTCTAAGAATTACTTGAAGCAAGTCGAAACCGAGCTGAGTCAAGCCGCACAATTACTTAAATTAAGCTGGTCTCGAGCTGAATCAATTGCGCAATCTACTTTGTTCAAGTCGGACCTGATATGCATCAAGTCGAAAAATTACTTGAATCAAGTTGAAGGATTACTTGAATCAACTCGCAGAATTACTTGCAGCAAGTCGAAACCGAACTGAGTCAAAATGCAAAATTACTTGAATCATGTCGGTCTCGATTTGATTCAAGTCGCACAATCTACTTGAATGAAGCCGGACACGACCTGAATAAAATCACAGAATTTACTTCGATCAAATCATACCTGACGTAAATGAAATCGAAAAATTACTTGAATCAAGTCGAACAAGATTGATTTGAATGAAGTCTGAATCAAGTCGCCGAATCTGGCAAGCCGATAGGACAAGCTCTCGGGTCTATATGTAGTATTGGAACGTTTTACAGTGCTATCGGCAGCCGTACGAATTGAAACAAAAATGATTTTCTCAAAAGTTTTACTGACATATTATACTCGAAAAGCCCCAATATCTCATACAAGGTTCCAGGATACTTGGAAACCCTGGAAGTGCCCAATTAATATACCGCCGTCTTGAGCCTCGAAAGGTCTTCGGTGTAACCGCGACTGAAGGACCGCATGCATTAAACTTTGAGGAAACTTGGAAGTAATAATTAGTGACAACCTGTTATTTTACACCTGTCTGACATTTTCCCCCGATCGTGGTTACACTATTAGAGAAGAAAATTGTGAAGAATTTGGAGTGAAGATATGGAGGTAGAGTTTCAGGTGGAGAGTTTGGAGTAACAGTCATTATTGCACGACAAAGTGAACTAAATTCAGACACATCGAGGAGAGATTTATTTTTGGATGGAATACTCTGGTTCTGTTTCTTCACATATTTAATGAACTCAAAGGTTGAAAGCTCTATGCTATAGGTGTCCATCATGGATGTCTGCACTGTGTTCGGATTTTTGTGGCTGTTTCGAAATTTAGAATGAGGTGAAACAGATTTTTCGCGAGAACTTTTTGCTTTCGAATGGAAGCATTGTAATTGACCAAAATTGAGGTTTCAATTTTTTATGTTAAGATGAGTAAATTCCAAGGATGCGATTGTTAGACGGTACACCGGGAAAAAAGAATTATTTCAAATAAACTATTTGAGTCAAATAAAGTTTACTTGAAATAAATAAATAAGTTTATTTAAATAGCACCAAGAATTTTTTTTTCATGTCAAATCATATCATATTTTAATCATATTAAAATCTTAAAATAAAATATTATTCTTTTCTGTGAAGTACGCCGAAAATTTCAGAAAAGTATCTGGCAGTGTATCTGAGGGTCGGTAATTATCAACTTGAAAGTTTGTTTATTCGAAACAAACGCTTACGAGAAAAATAGATTTTCTTTTGCTACTTCACACGAAAGAAATTCTTTTCTGACATGAGTTTTTCCATGTCATTCCCCCTGTCATCAGTTCCGACAAGGGACGCATCTCCCTCTAATCCACGCTTTCACGCACTCTCCTCACGCCCAAATGGCTCGGAATATCATCCCAGATGAGAGGAGAAAAACTGTTGTGACAATGATTTTTGATAGAAACAGTGTACAATGTCCAGCTCGTTTACCTCCCGTTGACATGTACGAACAGAATGAACGGAGAGTCGCAGAATAGGATAGCAACGGTGTGTTATAGCCAGGTAGCAGAGCTTGAAATCCTAGAAGCTTCCGTTGCGAAATGGTTCGGATGAGCAAAAGGTAATCCTTGCCCTCCCTCAACCTTGATGTAGCACCACCCCTTCCCCAGTATCAGAAAAGAGAGAAGTGGAGATTTGAGAATGTTACTGTAATTATTCGGAGGCTTGTGATATTGGAAACCATTGCTCTGTTTTGAATGGTTGAATAATTGTGATGAAAAAAATTGTGCACAACATTGAAGAACGAAATTCAAGTCCTTTTGCTTCTGAAGGGGAGCTAGGGGGGAGAGTCGATAAGGTTTGAGGCGTAAGTAAATCAATAAGGTGAAAATTCAACTACTTATGGAGGATTCATGAGTTATTTTATTACATGATCTATGCGCGCGCTGATCTATTAATTTTTTGAAATGAAGAAATTGAATTCATTAAATTTCATTTTCTCATGAATACCTTATAAATATTGATAATGAATCAAAGAGAATTCGACTAATGATTGAAGTGAATAGCGAAGTAGAGTAAAAGAATCTATAAAGATTTTTTTATTTTGAATTAATTATCTTCAATTTTTTTAAATAATCGGTCTCCATAAAAGGACAGAATTGATTAATTTCACCGGTAATATATATACATGTGAAATATATATATTATATATATTTTGGTGAAAATCGATGCTGGAAATGGGGTAATTTTAAATAACTATACTGGTAAATAAGTGAACAAAACCCGGCTGTGTGGCGCACTTGGTAGCAGCATGAGATTTACAACCTCAAGCCCCCAGGTTCGAGCCCCGGCCGGGCCAAAATTCCACAGCAATTTTTCATCACAATTTTCCACATAATATTCAACTGAAAATTCAACACAATTTTCAAACCGAATATTCCACGGAATTTTCAACTGAAAAATCCACATTCAACATTCCCTGGCTGAAGGCTCTCGGGGGATGGCCGCGTTGACAAGTTAACCCTTGCAACGAAAAACCGGTGAAATTTGAAATTTTTAAGTGAACAAAATTTTCTTTTATTTTATACGCTCGGAAGACACATCCGCTCAGTACCGTTCCCTTAGAGGAACTAACTTGACAAAAGGGATCCAACACCCTGGGCCTGATGACTCACATTCAAAAGGTCCCACTCATGCATTGTGTTTAGACTAGAAAAACAGAGCAAACATCATGCCTCAAACTTCTCGGAATTTTCATCCATAAAAATGTTCTTCGATGTGAAGTGGAAACACAAGAGATGAAAGAAATATAAAACGTACAAAGACGTATTCAAACCAATTGAAGATTAATTTTTGTTAAGTATTTTCAACGAAAAATCCAACAATCGAGTAAAACAAGCCTTCTCAAATGTGCATTCGTTAACTATTGCCGAATGAGCAGTTGGTGAGAGCGAATAGACTTTCGTCTCCAACCAAATCCATTCGTTAACAATAACTAATCCTTTCTATCAGTGCACTCAGTGATTGAAAATATGCAATATGCATTCTACACTTATGATATTTCTGGTGGATATTTTCATTTGTAGTACTTCTAGACACTTCAAAACGAGATGTCAAATTTTTTCAAATCTTTTGAGGCTCTACTGCAGTGTAATTTACAAAATCGGAAAAAGTGCGGCGCAGCGCTCATAGCACGAGCAACGGAGTGTTAATGAGATATGGGGTTACACTCATGAATTGATTACATTCTCTCGAAAAATGAACCCAAATTGAGCATCTGAATATAATGATGCATTCGTATCATCGTGATTAAAAACAAATACATGATGAAATATGGATTTTTGGTGCGTGGGCGGAGAGGTGAAGGATGGCGGCTGGTCCATCAAGCAACTTGATACGTTGCAACTGGATGACGGTTGAGTTTCATCCTGAATACACCTCGTCTCCATTTCCCTCGTGTATTTCAGCGGTTCATCCTATCCGTGCAAACATTATGCGTATTTTGACTTTTGCATAGATTGTTAATGTTCTACAGAGTAGACAAGGTAAAATGGAAGCTTGTGCTCGTTCAAATTTGAGTTTTGATATTTTGTGTTATATCAATGTCTATCTGATGTGATTCAAAAAGTTGGAAATAGTATATTTCGATACGAGTGCAACGGATTTTTTCACGAGTGTGATATTGACGGCCCGAGACGATGTCGAACACGAGCTGAAAAATTCTGCCGCACATGTGTCTGAACTATATTTTTGTCAGTGATATTACGTTCAACAAGTACCGAACTTTCCTTTTTCCCGTTTACAAGTAAATTAAAACGCACATTTTTTTAACAATTTTTTTTCCGAGTGTAAAAAATTGAATTTCAATCGAAAGTCTAATGAAATTTCTCATTCGCAGGAGATTTTCGAATACACGGAGAGACATATTCAATAAAAATTACGTATCTTTTCCGTATTTCCGGAGCGATATGTGGTTGTAGGAAATTTTACGGAACTGTCACGGAATTTTTCCAGAGCATTCCGTAATGTTTATCTGAATCTCCTGTGGAAAATTACGATACCGTCACTTAAATTTTCTGAGTCGATTCCGTAATCGGTGAGCGAATTGTGAGTTCCGTAATTTTTACTGAACATTTCTCTCCGTGTAAGGAAACCACAAATGAAATCAATTTTTTTGGCCCGCAAAATGGAGAATTACCATTCACCAGTATTTTTGTATCCGAGAGGATATCATTCCCACGTTTCGGTTTAATTAATATAACATTTCACGTAACATTAATTCCGCAATCACATATTCGAATGCGCTTCATGCAGCGTTTGCATAAACAGAATAAATGATTTTTTTTTAATTGGAAATGTGAGCGCCGCAAAATTAAATATCATGCAAATATAATGAAGAGATTTACGACTGATAGATAGATAGAATGAATTATGCAAATATCTACAAATTAATTGGACAGAGAGGAAATTTCGCATCAAATCAGAGTTAAAATCATTTGGCATGAAGTTATGAGATAAGATAATTAACAGAAACTCGAGGTGAGTCTTTCACTGAAAATACAGCAGCCAAAAAATATGAGTTTTTTGAGAATTTCATGAAAAATTCCTCTTATCTACTGGACCTCATCTCTTCATTAAAAAATACTGTCTAGGCTTTATATAAGATACCTCGAGCTCCGAGCGCTCGAGGCCTACCCCTACTCTCGGCACTTTTATCGCCTCTCGAATGTTTAGTTTCGGGGGCTTTTTATAAGATACCTATGGCCTTGATCATTTTTCAACGGGAAAAGAGTGATTATAAGGATCAAACGGAGTTAAGGGTCAAACGGGAGGGACGAACGGAGTGATCATAACAATCCCAACAATCCCTCAACGTCAGCTGCTATTCTATCACGCGGGGTTATGTTTAAAGAGAAAAAAGAACGCGGACTATACGAATTCAAAACTTTAAACTCGTATAAATTGATTAGTTATCAATATCCACTCAGTAAAAATGAAAATTCCATATAAATCGGGCACAACGAGTTATCTTATTTCAAACCGCTGATCCCTATTTTTCTCCTCGCTATAAGCACGCGCAGTGGGGGTATACGAATTCCCGGAATTCTACTCTCTTACTATCCCTAAGGTATCTTATATGAAGTCTTGACTGTATTATGATTTATATTCTTTGGCTTCTTTTAATCCAATATATTCTCATTTCAGATAGTTCAACGACGTGTTCATGGTGTGGTCGTGCCGGCGGATCATGGGAGCCGGGTTCAACTGGTTCAATGTCATTCGGTGTGATAAACAATTCCGGTCGTTTCTGCAGCGAAGCGTGCTTCGCAGCGGGCAGACGTGCTGCATTCAAAAGAGCCAGAACTTGCGACTGGTGCAGGCACGTTCGACATTCCGTCAGTTATGTTGACTTCCAGGTAAATAGTCTGCGTAAATAGCTGCTTGAACAAATAAACTTGAGTTTTCTCAATCTCAACAGAAAAGTTATATTCAGAGCGGGCAATCATTTTACTCAACTTTTCTACAATTGAAAAGTTTTCTTTTCCACATCTTCGAAAACAATTTCGAAATTCCAAGCAATGGAAAAGAAATGAAAAGGAATTAAAAATGATAGAATTATATGAATTTGAAAATTAAATTTTTTTCTTCCAGTGAAAAATAGGCTGAATCCGACCTTTAACAGAAAATTAACGATTATTTCCTAAGATTTTACAAAACATTATCTAAAAAATTTTGCGAAATTTCAAAACCGAAGACAATGTACTTCAGTTTTCAAATTTATTCAGAGGTTCTAAAGAAGAAAGTCTTTCTATTACTCCTTAAATTGAAAAAGTCGAATTAATAATTTCAACAGAAACGATTCAAAATAAGATTGAATCTCCAATTTGTAATCCACAGGACGGAGAAAGTCAGCTGCAGTTCTGCAGCGACAAATGCCTAAACCAGTACAAAATGAACATCTTCTGTCACGAGACGCAGACCCACCTAGCCCTCCACGGCCTAAGCAGTGCATCCCCATCGGCCCTAACGACAAACCCATCGAACCTCGGTGGTCTCATAACCCCCGATCTTTGGTTACGAGACTGCCGCTCCCCGCCCCCGACGCCCGAAGAGCCCGAAGAAGATCCCCTCATAGTAGACGACGAGCCGTCTCCCTGTGACCCCGAAGACGCATCACCGGGCATAATCTCCACAATCTCTCCCAACCGGGAGGACATACCATCCCCAAACATCGACGTGGAAGAGGCAACCGTCGAGGAAGCGATAAAGGAATCCTTGAAGGACGAAGAGCACAGGAGATCGCAGTCCCAAAAGGCCGAGTCCCCCCCGAAATCCAAAGACCCTGAAGACAGTGATGAGCGCGGTGACCCAAAACCTCCAAGTCCCAAAGATAATTCACATCCCAGAAAGCCAAAGCCCCAGGAGAACTGCATTCACCTGAAAGACATGCGAAAACTGATGTCGAAAGGAAGACAAGTGACGTCGAATCACTCGAGGCCTAGAAAATGGCTGACGGAGCCGATTCCGGTAGATCCCCAGGTCCCCAGATCCGCCCCCGGTCTCATCAACCACCCAAACATACCAAATTACGTTCCTCATCCCCAGAACTACCCACTCCGTCAGCAGATCACGATGGGCGTCGTGGGACCAATGGGACCGCCCCTCCACTCCTACCACCCGGGAATTCCTCCACAAATAAATACTCCCCAAACAGGATTATTACCCCCTGTAACCGTTCTAGTCCCCTACCCAATCCCCATACCCATCCCCATCCCAATACCAATCCCCATTCCGCTCTTCGGTAAATTCTTCCAGTCCCGGAGTTCTGAAGATAGTGATGAGAAAAATTGTGAAGGGAGCAAAGAGTCCTCTACTGAGAGCCCTCAGGACCTCTCCAAACACCGGAAGTTCGATGATAGCTGTAGGAATTTAGGAGAGAAAATTCTGAGGGTTGACGAGTCCGTTGCTTCACCACCTGTTGCCAGCGTTTCGAATCTACCGACAGCTGTTTTAGAGGCGGAAGGGGTCGGTTTAGGGGGAGAGAAAATAGTCAATTTGAAGAGACCCTTGAGGAAGAGACGACGACTCTCTGGGGGGAATCCCGACGAGGTTGAGGGGAGAATCAAGAGGAGGAGTAAAATACTACCTGTGTAAATGGATTTCCGGTGATTGGAGTTTGATTTACGAATTATACAAAAATGTTATGTAACAGCAAAAACCACACCATCGCTTACGGCGCGAACAACGGAGTGTTATAAGGAAACGCGGGACGAATTCTGAAGTCATAAATTCGCTAATTGAAATATAACTGTCATGAGATCTTCTCCACGTGAGAAACTTACACTCAGCATAATTAATTGAACATCAGAAATCATTGGATTCTAGAAATCAATGAGCCGATGACTGGCTGTCGTTGTCTAAGACACTTTAGCATCGGTAAAAATTATTTCCTGAAGTGTTGGAGAAATTTAGGAATAATGTGAAGAATTTATTTGAACAGTTGAAAGAGTATTGTCTGATTGAACGGTAATTAGTGGTCGCGCAGCCACGGAATTTTGACACAATATTTGTACCTCTATACTAGAAACAGAAATAGGGATCCCAATTTCGATTAAATGATCTCTCGACTTTCAATAACAAGTCAATTACAGATAGGGGAGGGTAGGGCAAAACGGACTCCTAGGGCAAAACGAACCACTGACAGAAAATTGATAGTTTATAATAATTCATTCAGAAGCAAAAACACAAATTCAATGTCATTTGTGGTTTGAGGTGATTAGCAAATCTGATCAAATTGCAGTTCAACGACACTTCTTGTCTATAAAACCCCTGTGATGGTTACGATCCAGGTAACTCACCTTTAATTCAACACATTTAGTGTTCCTGATTTGAAGGAACGAAAAAAAACAAAAATTTCTGTCAGTGGTCCGTTTTGCGTCCCCTATTGTTCACATTGGATGCGTGCAATAATTTAAATTTAAATAATTCAGAGATGCATATGCCCCTCCTGTGGACTTCCGCCTATTTCAAATAGTTCATCTCCTCTATATTCGCATCACGTGAGTACCCGGATGCCGTAGATTCACTTGTGACACTACTACGCATCTTACTGCGCAGATTACGCATGCGTAGCAGGTTCACGCAATTTCTGAACTTCCTTTTTCTATGATTATTGTTCACCACTCAAACCCGGCGTCGAAACCATATATGGGCCCACGTGTGAATGTATGTCTCTTTTCAAAGTTGAATATTTGTGAAAATATAGAACTTCACAAATTTATGCAAAGTCTGTTGTGAAGACACTAAAAAACGGCACTAAAAACGTTTGAATAAAGTGAAAATTTTTTTAAATTTCAAACGAACAAGTGTTTAACATCTTAATTCACGTTTGAAATTCAGACAAATTTTCATTTTATTCAGACGTTTTTAAGTGTCTGAAAAGTGTCTATTATACAAAAGGTGTGAAATTCCGACATTCGCGTTTGCTGTGTAGTCATTTGACTTTGATTATTTCTACTTTATATCATTTTTGGGCCATTGGAAGTTTCTGCCACGGATGAAAAAATTGAAGAGAAAAACCTAGCGAATTCGCTAGACAATTCTATTGGATTTCTCATGAACTTTCTGTTAGGTTTCGGCCGATTCTATCGAAATGTGCAATAGAAAATATTCTGTAGAGAAAATCAAAAGAATTCGATTGTTCTATACAACTTATTTTATTGAGATACTTTCGGTAGAATTTCCTCGGCTAAAAAATTCCAAGTTTTTTCGTTTGATTTTCTTGATGAAAAAAAAGAAAAATAGATTGGAAAAAACTTGGAAAATTAGAGCCCAGGAAATTCTATATAAAATATCTGAAGGCAATAAATTATACAGAAATCAAATTCGTTAGGTTTTTGTATTAAATTTTTTTACGCGTGGAATCGCGTTGTCATTTAGCGCGCGTCGAGGTTAGTGCCAAAAGGGCATCTTCCTTCAGGGGTTAATCTGGACAATATGAGAGGGTTGGAGCGTTATTTTCAATTCAATTTTCAAGTGTAATTTCAGGACCACAACTCAACACCAATTTTTTTACAGTGTAAGTACAACAATCAAGCCGATCTCATGACAGTCGTATTAGAACTGTAAGATCTATGAATTTCCGAAAGTCGTCCTCTTAATCTGTCGGGTTAACCCTAGTCTGGTCACCGAACGCGACCCGGTGGCTCTAGTCACCTCTGCGGGGATTCCCCGCCGTGTTATTTAGACTCTAGCGTTGCCGAATTCCTTCTACACTGGCCGGGCGCATTTAGCGAGTTTCCGGCAACGTCGCGTCATGGGCAATTTCATTTAACATGGGAAAGAATAATTCATATGTTCGAAATAATTTGTTTTCTTTAGAAATTTCGGACAATATGTTGTTCTAAAAACTACTATAATTCTTTAGGCACTTCAATTGACGAAGTCAAATTTTTTTGAATTTTCGATCAATTATAATTGCAGAAAAACGGCGCGCGGCGGCATTTCCCTCATATGGTGACCAATCTAGGGTTAATTATAATTGTATTCTGAAATGAAAATCATGGTACTCGAATACCAGAAATTAATGTTGGTTTATTGTTCGAAGGAATTCATTTGTTGAAGTTATTTCGCTTCGTTTAACTGCTGAATGACGTTATTAGTGAGGATTTGGCAATGATTTTGTTGCCACTGGAGCTTTACTCAATATTTCATTGTTAATTAGTGCATAATGTTGATCATGTTTGATGAATTTTGGAATACTGAGTGGTTTCTAGCCATCAGTTGAGTGATTAATTCATCGCTGCATTGTTAGGTGCCTAATACGAAAACTGTGTTTTTACATTTAGAACCAGAAAGATCGTTAAGATTTATGTTATTTTTGTCGTCTTTGTTTTTGTACATATTTATATGTAATTATTTGTGAAATGCAGGTACGTTTGTGTTGAATGAGAAAGTGTAAAAAGTTGTTTGAAAAAAGAAAATGATGAATTATTCAAATGAGTCATTTCTGATGAACAGAAAAAAATGAATCAAATCTTCATGAATTTTGTGGTATAAAACAATATAATCTGCTTGAAAGCAATTGTATTATTCTCTCTCCACTTACAAAACAATAATCAGATACATTTCCATGATGTTTTGTTTTTTCGTTGGTTTGTCGGGTAAAACAGATCTTCATTGATTCACTGATTGTAGAGATCCCAGAGTGATACAGTGCCATCTTTTCCAGTTGCTGCCATCAAATTCTTGTTATTGTGCGACTCAACCTTCTCCATAGAATAAATAATATCAAAAATAGTTGATCTGTGTTGATCCAGTACAGCCAATGGTCGCAGGGTTTTCCAGGAAAATATACGCACTCTGCCATCCCAACCACCCGATGAAAATACTTTAGAGTCTTGGCGAGATGCAAGAACTGATATACCAGAATTTTTTATTGAAATTGTCGTCTTGTGGGTGAGTTGATCAGTTTTTGAAAGTTGAAAAACCTGAAATTGAACGAAATAAGGAGAACATGGTGAATAAATCAATCGCTTATTTTCATGGATTCTGCTGTAACTTGAGGATATTTAAGTAGTTACAAGAACGTTGATTATGGGGAGACTACTATAAGTTTTGCAAGTCGCACGCTATTGGAATTAAATTTCTCATGTTTTGAAGATCCATTATATGTGTTTAAAAAATAATAATTAATGTAAAAAAATTAATTGTTCAATTTTTGAAAAAATGTGTGTAATAACAATTTCGAATGAGTTTTTTGAAATTCACCTCTTACACAACTAATTTGTTTTTTTTTTTTCAATAGAAAATAGCACCATTCATGTAAAATAGCCCGAAAAATGTTTCTCAAAGAATCGAGAATATATTTTAAATATTTTAAGGATAATTTCTCTGCCTGTTTTACATGAATGGCGCAAATTTTTATATTAAATAAAACAAAATTAGCTGTGTAGAAGTCGCATTTCAAAAAAACTAATTCGCAATTGTTACTGTGCGTATTTTTTCAAAAACTTTGAAAAAAAAACCTCTGTAGCGCAAAAATGGGAGGACCTGGACTATTTTCAACATTTTAAGCGGGGCAAATGAACAATAAACAATTAATTTAATTTGATTCAATTAATTTGATTTCATTAATTTAATTTTTTCTGCGGGGCAAACGAATAATAAACAATTAATTTTATTGTACAATTATTCGTTTTTAGATGAATAATTAGACTCATAGAAGTCTCCCCTTAAATTGTCAAAAGATGCATTTTTTAACATTTTAATAAATGTTGTTGTTATTTTCTCCAAATCCTCTGATGCTTCACTTTGATTTACTGCAATGGAGATGACCAAGAACATCGAAGAAAAATAATTTTAGGTGGAAGGATCCAGCAACTGAATATTCACCTCTAATTTATTAGTCGGATTACCAATAATTCCCCTCATCCAGTAATTATCAAAAGTCATCGCCATTGGACAGGTTTCAGTCTCTAGCCAACTGTTCACAGCCATCCCCTTGACATTCCAAGCCGCTATGGCACCACTCTCGTAGGCAACAAGTATAATATTATTCTGAAGACCACAATTCTTAATAGCCATTACTTCACCCAGCGGCTTCGACGTTGAGATCTGCGATGGATCCAATTTATTTACAATGCTGTTGCTCTTCAACGAGAAAATTCCCACGTTGGAGCTTGGAAGTGGAAGGAGAACGAGATCATCAGACAAAATCTGTGACCTAGATCATTGCGAAGAATAAAGAAATGATCAAATCATTGTTTTAATTAGACTTCAGTTACAACAAAAATTCTTGAGGAGGTTCACCTCGGGAAAAAAACTTGCGTTTTTCGAGAACAAAACTTCAAAAAAACTATTTTCCGCGCGATTTTTGTTGAGGAATGCGTTTGTCGGTCGAAGTCGTCTCCGACCACTAAAAATTAGAGATTCGAATTTTTTGTAATCGAAAAATTAACTTTTGAAAAATGCCTAACGTATTTTTTTTTGAACTAGTATTTTAAAATATGATCATAAATTTTCACTCCTTAATTATGAAAAATACGGGAGAAGATACAGTTTGAAGTCCATTGGTCCACCTAAAAAAAGTCGTTATTTGCAATGGATCGATTATATTTTCGAAAATAAGTTATAAGTATCAATTAGAATGAGTGAATTTCCACAAAAGAATGGCAAATGAATCGAAACAGTACGGAAAAATGCACCTGTTCGAATTTTTTACTCTGAAGAAAATTTTATTCTTCAAATATTAACAAAAGGTTTGATAAACGAATAAATTAAAAAATGCATCTTCTCCCGCATTTTTCATCCTTGAAGACCGAACATTTCAGATTATATTCAAAAAACTATTTTTAAAAAAATACGGTGGGGATTTTTGTTGTTTAATTTTTTTTTATTTGAATTTAAAAGTTTTAAACATGAATAATCGCTTTTCAACTTCTTCTTGCTTGCACAAAAAATAAAAATTTCTTGGAATAACTAAATCTATATTTACAACAAAATTTTTTCATCTCAAGACAGTCTTAAAATAGCTGTGTGAACTTGGAGTGGAAGTGTGATAAATCGATTTTTTTTCTTATAGTATCGATTGTACTCAGTGAGTACCTGAACGAACCACAATCATTTTCGTTTGTACCCCGCATCCCTAGACGTAAGGGGTGCGGAAAAAATCGTGCAGCGTCGGAAATGAAGGTACGGAAAAAATTTTCATGAGCAAGGATTTAGCATGGATAGTACTTGTATGTACTATATTTTTCCATTTCATTTATCAACCGCTTCAATATTTTACCCGCTTCTAAAATCTTAAATGTATGAAGGACGTCAGGAAAACATACAGATAGCTTCTAAATCGTTAGTACTCGTTTGTACCAACGAAAATTATTCATTGTTATTATTATTATTATTATTATTATCATATCACCTGATTCCATTTTTATCAACCGTAAAATCATCGTAATGGATACCATATGTAGTTCGTCAAGTTTTGATGTGGGTAAGTCTCATCTTCCGTACTTCCACTCCCATCGCAGTACAAATGGAACAATTTAATGTATATGATAATGAGACCAAGTACAAAACATTGAGAGCTTCAAAAACAGTCGTAGATTATTCAGAAAAATGATACAAGCGTTTTTCTGAATTTTTCCGCGATAATCGCGAAAAACAAAATCGCCAAAAAAAATTAATTTAAGTTATCTGGTATAGGGTGTAGGAAGTGGAAAAACGCAATTCTGAGCCGTCCATCTGCCTATACGGAACCCAAATTTCCTCAGGAATCGAATGGAATAGGTTTTAAGGCTCTATCTCTCATAGTTTCCGAGATAATCGCGAAAAACGAAAATGCCAAAAAAAATTAATTTAATTCATCTTGTATAGGGTGTAGGAAGTGGAAAAACGCAATTCTGAGCCGTCCATCTGCCTATACGGAACCCAAATTTCCTCAGGAATCGAATGGAATAGGTTTTAAGGCTCTATCTCTCATAGTTTCCGAGATAATCGCGAAAAACGAAAATGCCAAAAAAAATTAATTTAATTCATCTTGTATAGGGTGTAGGAAGTGGAAAAACGCAATTCTGAGCCGTCCATCTGCCTATACGGAACCCAAATTTCCTCAGGAATCGAATGGAATAGGTTTTAAGGCTCTATCTCTCATAGTTTCCGAGATAATCGCGAAAAACGAAAATGCCAAAAAAAATTAATTTAATTCATCTTGTATAGGGTGTAGGAAGTGGAAAAACGCAATTCTGAGCCGTCCATCTGCCTATACGGAACCCAAATTTCCTCAGGAATCGAATGGAATAGGTTTTAAGGCTCTATCTCTCATAGTTTCCGAGATAATCGCGAAAAACGAAAATGCCAAAAAAAATTAATTTAATTCATCTTGTATAGGGTGTAGGAAGTGGAAAAACGCAATTCTGAGCCGTCCATCTGCCTATACGGAACCCAAATTTCCTCAGGAATCGAATGGAATAGGTTTTAAGGCTCTATCTCTCATAGTTTCCGAGATAATCGCGAAAAACGAAAATGCCAAAAAAAATTAATTTAATTCATCTTGTATAGGGTGTAGGAAGTGGAAAAACGCAATTCTGAGCCGTCCATCTGCCTATACGGAACCCAAATTTCCTCAGGAATCGAATGGAATAGGTTTTAAGGCTCTATCTCTCATAGTTTCCGAGATAATCGCGAAAAACGAAAATGCAAAAAAAAATTAATTTAATTCATCTTGTATAGGGTGTAGGAAGTGGAAAAACGCAATTCTGAGCCGTCCATCTGCCTATACGGAACCCAAATTTCCTCAGGAATCGAATGGAATAGGTTTTAAGGCTCTATCTCTCATAGTTTCCGAGATAATCGCGAAAAACGAAAATGCCAAAAAAAATTAATTTAATTCATCTTGTATAGGGTGTAGGAAGTGGAAAAACGCAATTCTGAGCCGTCCATCTGCCTATACGGAACCCAAATTTCCTCAGGAATCGAATGGAATAGGTTTTAAGGCTCTATCTCTCATAGTTTCCGAGATAATCGCGAAAAACGAAAATGCAAAAAAAAATTAATTTAATTCATCTTGTATAGGGTGTAGGAAGTGGAAAAACGCAATTCTGAGCCGTCCATCTGCCTATACGGAACCCAAATTTCCTCAGGAATCGAATGGAATAGGTTTTAAGGCTCTATCTCTCATAGTTTCCGAGATAATCGCGAAAAACGAAAATGCAAAAAAAAATTAATTTAATTCATCTTGTATAGGGTGTAGGAAGTGGAAAAACGCAATTCTGAGCCGTCCATCTGCCTATACGGAACCCAAATTTCCTCAGGAATCGAATGGAATAGGTTTTAAGGCTCTATCTCTCATAGTTTCCGAGATAATCGCGAAAAACGAAAATGCAAAAAAAAATTAATTTAATTCATCTTGTATAGGGTGTAGGAAGTGGAAAAACGCAATTCTGAGCCGTCCATCTGCCTATACGGAACCCAAATTTCCTCAGGAATCGAATGGAATAGGTTTTAAGGCTCTATCTCTCATAGTTTCCGAGATAATCGCGAAAAACGAAAATGCAAAAAAAAATTAATTTAATTCATCTTGTATAGGGTGTAGGAAGTGGAAAAACGCAATTCTGAGCCGTCCATCTGCCTATACGGAACCCAAATTTCCTCAGGAATCGAATGGAATAGGTTTTAAGGCTCTATCTCTCATAGTTTCCGAGATAATCGCGAAAAACGAAAATGCCAAAAAAAATTAATTTAATTCATCTTGTATAGGGTGTAGGAAGTGGAAAAACGCAATTCTGAGCCGTCCATCTGCCTATACGGAACCCAAATTTCCTCAGGAATCGAATGGAATAGGTTTTAAGGCTCTATCTCTCATAGTTTCCGAGATAATCGCGAAAAACGAAAATGCCAAAAAAAATTAATTTAATTCATCTTGTATAGGGTGTAGGAAGTGGAAAAACGCAATTCTGAGCCGTCCATCTGCCTATACGGAACCCAAATTTCCTCAGGAATCGAATGGAATAGGTTTTAAGGCTCTATCTCTCATAGTTTCCGAGATAATCGCGAAAAACGAAAATGCCAAAAAAAATTAATTTAATTCATCTTGTATAGGGTGTAGGAAGTGGAAAAACGCAATTCTGAGCCGTCCATCTGCCTATAGGGAACCCAAATTTCCTCAGGAATCGAATGGAATAGGTTTTAAGGCTCTATCTCTCATAGTTTCCGAGATAATCGCGAAAAACGAAATCGCCAAAAAAAATTAATTTAATTTATCTTGTATAGGGTGTAGGAAGTGGAAAAACGCAATTCTGAGCCGTCCATCTGCCTATAGGGAACCCAAATTTCCTCAGGAATCGAATGGAATAGGTTTCAAGGCTCTATCTCTCATAGTTTCCGAGATAATCGCGAAAAACGAAATCGCAAAAAAAATTAATTGAATTTATCTGGTATAGGGTGTAGGAAGTGGGAAAATGCAATTCTGAGCCGTCCATCTGCCTATGGGGAACCCAAATTTCCTCAGGAATCGAATGGAATAGGTTTTAAGGCTCTATCTCTCATAGTTTCCGAGATAATCGCGATAACGAAATCGCCAAAAAATCTTGCCGTACTTTTGGACATTTGTACCAACACCTACTCGTCACTAAACACCAATAAATTTCAGAAAAACGTTTGTACCATTTTTCTGAATAATCTACGACTGTTTTTGAAGCTCTGAATGGTTTGTACTTGGTCTCATTATCATGTACAGTAAATTGTTCTGTTTGTACTGCGATGGGAGTGGAAATACGGAAGTTGAGACGTTTGTACCCACATCAAAACTTCACGAACTACATATGGAATCCATTACGATGATTTTACGGTTNATGAATAATTTTCGTTGGTACGAACGAGTACTAACGATTTAGAAGCTATCTGTATGTTTTCCTGACGTCCTTCATACATTTAAGATTTTAGAAGCGGGTAAAGTATTGAAGGGGTTGATAAATGAAATGGAAAAATATAGTACATACAAGTATTATCCATGCTGAATCCTTGCTCATGAAAATTTTTTCCGTACCTTCATTTCCGACGCTGCACGATTTTTCCCGCACCTCTTACGTCTAGTGGTGCGGGGTACAAATGAATATGAATGTAGTACATTCAGGTACTCACTGAGTACAATCGATACTATAAGAAAGACAATCGATTTATCAAACTTCGACTCCAAGTTCACACAGCTAAAATAGTCAGTACTAGATTTCCTTTTTTAGTCATTTCTAATTTGCAAATTTTTTGGTTCAAACATGACGTTTTAAAAAAATATCCTTCTATTTTCTCTCAGTGCAGTTCAAATTCGAGGTGATAATGGCACGAGAAAAGATTATATTATTAACTGGATTACATTTCATGAAGTATTTACCTACAAAATCCGTGGTACTCAGTGTCAACTCTCTTCTCAAAAATCCAATTTGAGCCATCCGCACTCCATAAATCTACACCTCCACCTTTCCTTTGTACAATCAGGTATTCATCACCAAGGGTGTGCAGTGAAAGGCACTGCTCCTTGTTTGTATCGCTTATTTTCAGTTTGGATGCCTGTCGGTGTTTCTAATATGAAGAAAGTGAGATGTCAACATGTCCAATTTTCTCGCTGTTAACGACTGAATAATAATTATTATATAATTATATTATATTATGCATAATTATGTAACTTCATTGAATAACGACATCATCTAGGAGAACACAACTTTCTTCAGTTTTTCACTTTCTTCATTTTTGTTATTTCTTCGTTTTTCTCCAATTTGGTTTTCTGTTCATTAAAAGTTATGCTGTTTGATTTATTTGTTCGGCTACTGGATCGAAGCGTTCGGCATCTAAGATAGTCACCTTACTTGGATTTTCATGATTTCTAATAATTTTCATGGAGTAATTGAACTGGAATTTACAGTTTCTATTGATTTTTCACCAAATTATGAATTTTCAATGACAGAATTCGTTGAAATTTCAGTGGAACTGCCACAATAATTTTTATCACTCACTCACTGGGGTTACAAAAACATTCAATTTTCCTTATTTTTTTTTCTTGAGGCCGAGATCTCACGTACAAAAAAAATTTCATAGAAAAACCTAGCGAATTCCCTAGACAATTCTATAGGATTTTTATTGAACGTTCTATTAGTTTTACGTTCTATTAGTAGAAAATATTCTGTAGAAAAAGTCAATGGAATTCTATTTTTCCATACAATTTATTCTATTGAGATATTTTCTATAGATTTTCTCCGGCCCAAATTTTCCAAGTTTTTTTCATTCTATTTTTCTTGTCTTTTTAATAACATCATTGTAAAATGTCTGTAAAATTAGGGCCAAATGGACCTCAAATGAAAGCTCTGATGTTCGGCTACAAAAGTAGAAAAGCATTTCACTGGAAAAAAAATAGCCAAACTACTTGAATATCCTTAAAAAGACTTTTTTATGAGACGATCACCCGATTCATGAAGAATCCATTGAACTTGAGTGGTTTCAAGCCCCACGAGGTAAATAAAGTTAAACAATGAATGATTCTTCATTGAATTAGACCAGGTGAGTCACTCCAAGCGGACAAATCCATTGATTTTTCATAAACCAGTGAGTCACAAAATAAACAAGATTAGCCAACGCTAGTCACATTAACTGACCTACCATTTACCCAAGAATGGTCGTAAAAACCTAATGACGCAGTCGATTCATCTGAATAAACTATCCGCCTGAATGAATTAATGCTGGAAAAAAAACATCGCACGAACGAAAAAAACACAGAAAACGCTAGGGAATCCGAACATTCTATCAATTGAATCCAATAGAATTTGATTTTTCCATACAAATTATTTCATTAAGATATTCTCCATAGAAAATAATTTCTCGGCTCAAATTTTCGAAATTTTTTCGTTTGATCTTTTCAATGACGAGAAAAAAATGAAGTGAAAAAAATTAGAACATTTATTTGTGGAATTGTTAGCCAAATAGTTTCTAATGGACATTTACTATTAAAAAAGAAACGCGCAGTGAAGCTACGAAATTTTTCAATAGAATTGCTCAATAGAAAATAATTCATTGAAATGTAAATACAATTTTATTATTTCATGCAACTTATTCTATTGATATATTTCATGTATGAATTCTCTGGTTTAAATTTTCCTATTTTTTTTTCAGGGGATGGAGAAAGAAAATGAAATGAAAAAAATTGAGCAATTATGCCAAGGAATTCGTACAGAAAGTTATATAGATATATCAAATTCTACAGATTTTTTCTATAAAATAATTTTTTTCCTTTAAAAATCCAATAAAGCTGTAGAATTTTTCAATGAAATCAGCGAAAATCTGATAAAATTTTCAATAAAAGCTGCGTTTTCTTTTAAATTTACTAATAATCATTTGTAAGCAGCAACAAATTCACGAGGAGATTCTGATGAATAATTGAATATTCTATTATTCTTTCGTCGACCCTCAAATTTTCCAATTTTCTTCTATTTTCAATGAGCAGAGAAAATGCAGTGAAAAAAAATAGAAAAATCATGTAAAGGAATTTTTTTTTTATTTACATGTCGAGGAATCCGTATGGACAAAAATTATACAGCAAGATTAAATTCTGGAGATCTTTAGAAAATCAAATTCTGGTGAATTCTAGAGATTTTTCACTTGAAGAATGCGCAGTAAAGCTGCTGAATTTTTCAATAGAAATTCAGTAGACTTATGGCAAATTTCCAAGGTCCCGTTAAAAAAATGTTTTATGTTCCGCGTAGAAGAGGAACTAACAGTCGTAAATAAATGATTACCTTCAGGTCCCAAATATGGACATTTCCGCTCTCAGTCCCGGCATACAAATGCTCGATATACGGTGAAATTCTGAAGAGCAGACTGTGCACAGGACCCATATCACCCCGAAACACATAGATCGGGTCGGGCGGAAGAATTGCCATTGTCAATTGTTGAAAAACACTTGTCTGTCGATGGAATAACACAAACGACGCAGTGGACAATTGCTCCGAAAGGGTTATGGCTGTCACTCGCGATGGTTGGAGTTCACCATAGAAGACGGGAGGTACACGACACGCCTGATGAACTCTTGGATATTGGAAATTAACTGGTTTCTCTTGTTGTGAACTTTACGAACTTTTAGCATTTCTGTCAAATCATTTTTAGCCGCCAATTTGATGGATTTTTTTTTTACACGGACGCGTCGATCGAACCTCCCGTCTTCTATCCCTTCTGATCGCAGGCCCGACACCGGTCTGGTATCTAGTGTCATTTCTCAGAACTTGGAGAACAGCTGGTCGAGACGCGCATGGTTGAGAGGTGAGTGTGCGCGTTTGCGGGAATGATTCAGTAGCGAAGCGGTAAAACGTTTTAAATCTATTTTTACTATTGGTCGGTTTTCAATGAATATCTCGGAATCTAAGGCAGATTGCAAAATTTTTGTTATAACCTTTTTTGAAGAGCGATTTTAGAGCTACGAGAAAGGTGAATACAAAAATTTTGCTACCTCCCTTAGATTCGGAGATATTCCTCAAAAACTCAGCTGAGAGTTGAGTCGACATGAATCGTTTTTCCGCTGCACTAGTGGATGTTTTTCAATGAATATCTCGGAATTTAAGGCAGATTTGACAATTTTTGTTATAACCTTTTTTGTAGAGCGATTTTAGAGCTACGAGAAAGGTGAATACAAAAATTTTGCTACCTCCCTTAGATTCGGAGATATTCCTCAAAAACTCAGCTGAGAGTTGAGTCGACATGAATCGTTTTTCCGCTGCGCTAGTGGATGTTTTTCAATGAATATCTCGGAATTTAAGGCAGATTTGACAATTTTTATTATAATCTTTTTTATAGAGCGAATTTAGAGCTACGAAAAAGGTGAGTACAAAAATTTCGCTCTCTCCCTTAGATTCGGAGATATTCCTCGAAAACTCAGCTGAGAGTTGAATCTACTTGAACTGTTATATCGCTGGGCTGCTGCATTGGGACTTGTTTATCGGATTTTTTGTAAATGAATGATAAAATGGATTTTATGGAGAATTGTTTTCCTTATTGTTAATGGACATGTCGAGTTTTCGGGTTTGTTTTGATTCTCGACAGACTTAGGTAGTCCTACGGCTGATAAAATAGAGATTCTATATGTTTGAGGTTCCGTTGAGGCTGGGAGGTGGCGCGATCGGTGTTCATTTGATATTTTCGCACATTTTCATGGAAACAAGTGGACAGTTTTTCAGTTTTCCATATTTTCAAGTGAAAATAACAACAAGAGGACTTGTAGTTCAACAAGTGCTATTAGTGCGGATAATAGTGTTTCTTATTCCAGTATTATCTTCTTCTATTTTTTCATGTCATAGTACTATCATCCATTGCAATGTTAAATTTTGCTGTACGAAAGGTAATTATAGAGCGAAATGTCTCTCTATATAATAAAAGAATAAGGAGGGTTAAAAATTCAGGAAGACGCCCCTGATTCTGACCCTTATCTGTCACCCTGATGATGTCATTCAAATTCTTAAAAAAATAATAAGAAAAGTATACCTCATACTATTTTGCGTAAATGAATAGAAAAATGAATGGTCGGGTCTCATGACAAAAGCCGATGGTTCGCGCCTTTTGTAAATAATAAAAGTCCCAATTTTTCACAGGAGGTGGATCATTCTATCAATTTTTTTCTATATAATACGAATACCTAAATATAACAATGAAGATGGGGGGGGGGAGCGAAGCGAACGGGGGGGGCTAAGACCCCCCGGGGTTGGCGAGCAAAGTGAGCAGGGGGCGAAGCCCCCCTAGTAAAAAAATTAAGAGGGTTAAAAATTTAGGAGACGCCCCTGATTAATAAGAAAAGTATACCTCATACTATTTTGCGTAAATGAATAGAAAAATGAATGGTCGAGTCTCATGACAAAAGCCGTTGGTTCGTGCCTTTTGTAAATAATAAAAGTCCCAATTTTTCAAAGGAGGTGAAGTATTCTATCATTTTTTTTTCTGTATAATACGAACACCTAAATATAGCCATGAAGATGGGAGCGAAGCGAGCGAGGGGGCCAAGCCCCCTAGTAATCCAATGAAAAAATACATGTTCGTGGAGGATACTTTACGATTCGTTCGGTAAAAAAAACATCTATGGATGTAGAAATTATTCTACTGTGCAGTAAAATTTTCCACACCGGTAGGGTATTTTTTTTTCTTGCACCCATCTGAAGGTCATGGGGAATGAATGGATGGAAGTGAAATTTCACCGATCGCGTTCGGTAAAAAATCATTTTCTGCTACAGAACAAATATCCGAGTCGTCTCGTACTTTTTCCCCGATATAGAGTAAAAAACTACTGAGAATCGAATTCGCGTCGCGATAACTTGACTTGTGCGGTAATTTTCTCCAACTTTTTTCTCCACGTCGAATTCTGAATTTTTCGAGTGCTTAAAAAAGTTAGTACTGCAAATAGATAATTTATGCTTTACCTTATTTATCTTCTATTTCCGGAATCATCCTGTCAGCTGGATCCAGTCCTCAGTCAGAAACTGGATCACCAGAAATTTAGCAGAGTTCAGTCAACGTTGAGGACAAGCATCGAATATTGAGGCCAGTATTATTTAAGGATGACTCTATGATTATTTAATCGTCCGAATGATCTCAATTCTCCATTGAAGAAAGCACTCGAAATATTGGAATTGGAAAGGTAACGAATCAAATTAAAAATGCGCATGCATGATTAATCATGATTTTCTACTCATTTCATTTCACTACTTTGTAACTGAATTCAATTTTGCATTCAGGAAATTAAGAATTTCAATAAAAATTTTAATTCAGTTATGGAAATGCTGGAAGAAATGCATGAAAGCATTCGATAGAAAAACTGAGGGCATTTGCCAGGAAATTCCATTGAAAATGTTTGATTTTTTCCTAATTCATTTGAAGAATTTTTTCACATAGATACACTAAATAGATTTTGATTTTTTTATACTATTCATCATATATTTTTCAATACTCCATATACTTTTCAATTCAATATACTATTCCCATTTGACCCTAATTTTCCAGACATTTTACAATGACTTTATTATTTAAACTTTGTAGGTCTAAATTTCAATCTCGATATTAAACCGTTAGAAAACATTTTAAAAATCCTAAAAACATTGAAAAGTTCACTTTTTGAGAAAATTTTATAAAATAATTTCAAAATTGCAGTTTTTGAAAATTACGAGCATTTTCTATAAATAATTTATAAACCATCAATTTTTCCCCGTAAAAATCATTTTTTCGGAATTGTAACAAATTTATTCATAAACAGAATTTTACCAGAAATCGATTTTTTGCCTAAAAAAATTAGTTTTCCGAAAGTTTGAACAATTCCAATTATTTATTCATAAACAATGAGCAAAAAAACAATAATTTATAAGCAAATCATAGTTCTGTGCAAAATATAATTTTAATGACGCTGAATACACGGACGAAAAAATTTAATAGAAAAATTTATCGTATTCGTTAGAAAAGTCTATTGAATTTCTATTGAACTATTCTATTAGTTTTTGGAGTCAATAGAATTCAATTCTTCTACATAACTTATTCTATTAAGATATTTTCTATAGAATTTCCTCGGCTCAAATTTTCCAAGTTTTTTCGTTTGATTTTCTTGATGAGAAGAGAAGAAAAATAGAATGAAAAAAACTTAGAAAATTTGAGTCGAGCAAATTCTATAGAAAATATATGATAAGAATAAGTTATATAGAAAAATCGAATTCTGTTGACTTTTTCTATTGAACATATCAATAGAATCAGCCAAAAACTAATAGAAAGTTTAACAGAAATTCAATAGAATTTTCTAACGAATTCGATAGGTTTTTCTATTACATTTTTTCGTGCGTGTATTCATGATTTTTTTCAAATTTTCTCATAAAAATGGTTCAATCTATAGTGTGGTTTGTATAAAACTGTGCAAGATACTTGGATATTTTTAATTTTTTCTACAAATTTGTTTCATACTTACATTTGCCATCATCGACGTGGTGGATAGCTTCGGGAAAGGTAGACATATCCACCATTCCCATAAATCATACAAACGATATTGATCGGTTGAGGCATTTATTATTCATTTATTTCTCTTTTATACATATATACTCTCATATATTTTTTTTGTTACGTGAGAATTTCTGGAGGTTGTCATCATGTAGTTTGTATTGTTTTGAATAGTGTCCATTATTGCTGCAGACACAGTCAAATTATATATTTTCATTATCCACAATGACTTTATCCACAATAACGTTTATAATTTTAATGACATTACATCAATCATTCATTTATTGGGTTATTATGGTAAGGTAAGTATCATTTTTTTGTAATTTTTCAATAGATTTTTTCATTATCATTCATTATAGTAAAATATACACATAATTCATATTCATCGTTGAGTAATGTATAATATTATTGATATAATATATCGATTTTTAAATATCAACAATTGCAAGCTAGCTACTATAATAGTTTCCATACACAAGGAGACCCTCTGCCTAACCAAATATTCAATGAAGAACATTGAACCAAAAAAATACCACGCTCTATTCTATATTTATCTGAACAATGAATTCTGGAAGTTTTAACATTATAATGTAGAAAAAATAATTATAAAATTTGCCACTATGTTTTCCTTCTCCTCCCCTTTCCCCGTCAAAAAATAAAAAATACTCTCTATCTAAAATAAATATTTCTCCCTCTCGTCAATTAGACAAAGGGTCTCCACGCATAATACATATGTATATAATTACATTATTCATTTTATCATTTAGTTATTCTTATTTTCTTTTGGTTAGTTATGGGAATCTGTACTCAGTTTTCTTCTACTACTTTTCTTTTCACTTGGGATAGGAATCGATTGACATGTAAACTCTTGAACTGTAAATTCAGTTGATTGTATCATTTAATATATATTTTTTCAATCATCGATCAATCAACTTGTTGATCCATGTTCTTAATAGAGTTATCGTGATCACGCCAAAAATACACAATCATCGTCGATTAACTCTTGTGATGATTCGTGAGAATATTATATATCTTTTTTTATTTTTTATTTGTGAGCAGTCTTTAGATGGAGTTATATTGGTGGTGTGTTTCGATAAATAATAGTTTATAACTATTGAAAATCAATTGGAATGTCAGTAAATGAGTGTGAAGAATAGAATAACTCGTGATGAAATTCAATTTTTTCTTCTGTTTTCTTTTCAATATAAAATAAATAAATTCCATGCAATGAAT